CAAATATATATATTTCTAAAAAAAAAAAAAATAACAGAAAAAAGTTTTAAACAATTCATATTTAATTTTTTTTTAAAAATAAAAAATAAAAAAAGAAACCATCCAGCATTGTTGTAAGCATATTCACCAAAATTTCGAACAAGTGCACAGAATGATTTTCCATAACGTTTATGGCAAACCTGATTAGATTTGGTAGCAACCTGAATAAAAAGAAAAAAAAACAACACTCATTCATTTTTTATGAATAATATTTGCTTCATTGTTGTGATTAAATTTAAAATATCAAAAAAAAAAAAGAATCAAAAAAATAAAAAATAAAATGATGAATATTTTACATCAAGACAGGCGCAAAAAATATCATCACAATATGTTCGTCCTCGTTGTTCATTATAGCAATTATCATGTTCAATACAACATTGATTAATTAATCCTAAAATTGACATTTAATTAGCAATATTTGACAAGCATTTTTAAAGTTTACAAATTAATGTATTAATTTTTTTTCTTTTCATCATATCTTATTTTAAAAATATTGGTATTTCTCAGAGAATAGGTAAAATGTTGAATTTTGAAAAAAGTTTGAACTTTTCATTGGAAATTATTTCATTAGAAAAAAAAGAAATAAACAATATGTATTACATAGCTGACTTTTTTTTTTTCAATTGCTAATTATTGTTTAATTGCAATAAAGATGACAAACTTTTTAGTCGTGGACAATTTCGATCAATTTTAGATTCACTGATAAATTTAGTTAAAAAATCAACACCACATTCCCATGTTACTACACCGTTATTTTTATCATTGTTATCAGCACTTGTGTTATCACCATCTTTAATATTTTCCACTGAAAAAGAAAAAAAAATCTATTATTAAATTTTTAGAATTTTATAAAAATGACAAGGATTAATTTATTTTATCAACAATTTGTTCCTTTTTTTGAATATTAATTATCATTAAAATTTTGTTATTAATTATTCAATTGCTACCAAAATATTGAAATTTAGAATCCATTTATTAAAGCAATACGATAACTTGAAAAGCCTATGAAGCTTATTTTTTTTTTTGGCAAAAAGAAGTTTACCTAAATGAAATTTTACTGTACAATAATATAAATGAGAAAGATGGGAGTTCATAATTTTTAAAATAAATGGATTGTTGGGTCATTGGTCATACGCACATGTAAATGTATATCTCGAAAGAAAATCAATGAAATATTTGATGACGTAATTAAATTTTCAAGAACTACTGCTAACCTGTTACATTTGATACAACTTCATCTTGATAAGAAACTGTAGTGGTCTGATACAATAGCATAGGGTCAAAGGGTGATTCAATACAAGAAACACAAATACCATGTGCTAGTATCATTGCAATAAATAGCCACATGTTCAACTGCAAAACTAAGTACTAATTATCTAATTAAAACTGTAAATTGTCTACTTGACAATTGTAATATAACAATTCAAAGTAAGTAGTTTAAAACTTGAAAACGAGAAATCAAGAATTCAATTTATACAATAATAATCATAAATGAAAAAGTTGCTTGGATCAACCAAAAAAAATAATAAAAAAAAGCGATTCAAAGTTGGTGCGATAAACAAATAACTTGAAATAACATTTTTAATGTTTTTCTACTGTCTTTATTCTAGTTTTATACAATATTTGTTGAAATCAAAAAAGAAGAAAAAACAAACAATTCTATTATATTTTAGTGGAAACAAAAAAAAAAAACAAATGAAAAATTAGTTGAAAAGCAAATGTATGTTAATCATTTTACTTGAATTGATTTTTTTTTTGATAAGATAATAGTATGTTTTTACTGAATAATCTAAATAGACTAATAATCTGACTAGGTTAAACTAAAATAATATGCAAAATAGGCATGAAATTAGGAGCAAGTAATTGAATTAAGTGCAAATTGTTGGCAATTAGCAATCCGTTTAACCGTATCCGGTTAACAATAGTAAAATCAATGAAGAATTTTGCATAAATTTGATTAATTAGATTCCGGTTTTGATTTGAATAATCGGAATGGGAAAGAAAAGTGGGATAGACAAAAAATGTAATAAAAAAACAAAAAAAAAAAAAATGGAAATGGATGAAAAAAATTATGCAATTAAATAATAGAATTAATAGTAGTAATTAATAATTTATATAATTGATTGGTTGATTGATTGCATTGATATCATACGGTGCTGATATAATTAGCTATCATAAGAGTTTTATTATCACTAAATTATCTTAACGGATTGCATGCAGAGCAATATGAAAATTTTTGCAAAACTAGACAGAAATATGGAAAAGAAAAAAGGTGAAATTGTATAAATTAATACATTAATAAATGTACGAATGAATGAATGAATATATGAATATAAATAAATAAATAAATAAATAAACAAGTAAATACATAAATAAGTAAATAAACGAATAAATACATAAGTAAATAAATAAACAAATGAATGAGTAAATAAATAACTTAGGAATGTAATGATTTATGAGAAAATAAATGAATGCAAACAAAGCACACAAATTAACTAATCTTGTTAATTTCATTTTTGCAAAAAAAAGAAGCTTGTTAATTTAATTTAATTCATTTAAATCAATAGAATTAAAATTGAAACGAAATATATGAAAATCATCCGACAATATCATTTTTATCAGCAAATTATATTTTATCGAATAATTTTTCATATCAATTTGTTAATTTTTTTAATATTATTTTTTTACGTATCAGTTATCATGAAATTCCAACAAATGATAACTGAGCTAATTAAGAACAGTAGATTGGGAAATTTTAATTAATCAGCACACAGATATTGGTTAATTAATTAAACATTTCCTGCTGAATTAATCAAATATTTCCTAATTATTGATCACGAAATTTTGTCAAATGATAATTGAGCTAATTAACAACAATAAATTGGGAAATTTTAGTTGATTAGCATTTAGATATTAGTTGAATAGTTAAATATTTCCTACTTCATTTGTATTATCTATTCTAATATTAAAATATTTCAATTCAGTGTTATCAGTAATCAAATTTTTATCAGGCATTAAATACCAAAAACAAAGATTAATTTCACAAGTATGCAAATTCACATAAATTTTAAAAATCAAAAAATATCTTCCGAGAAAAGGAATTTTTTTTTGTTTAA